AAGGTGCCTACAGAACAATTTGTTGAACATGGCAATTTTTCCACCCAATGTTTTTCTAGCTCATAACAAATATGTCTGTATACTGTACAAGCTTGCATGCACTGATTAAGGTAATAGACATGGGAACTCAAAGGACCGTTTCTGATGGGGCCTGAATTAAGTGACTGTATGTAATAGTACTCATGTACAGCTTTTCCTGAAAAGATGCAATTTGAAGAAGCATATTATCCATTTCCAATCTCATCTACCCCAGTATTCTAAATGGCAACAAGCCAGCAAGTTTACTCCATACACCTCAGCCATCCCCAGATACTGTACATGTGCTGATCCTTTTTTCCGCTCCGTGAACTGTGCTGAACATGCTTTAGCTCTGCTAGTATCACAAGTCGTATCTTCTGTTTAGTGCATGCACTGAAGTCTCCTTCAAACATGCAGCTCAGAAACCGCCACATCAATCCTCTCAGGGTTCATGTTAATTTCAGAAGCCTTATTGGACACCTCACTGATCAAACTGGAGAAGTACTCTGTCATCATTTTGACTTGGCAATAATGGATGTATCCAAGCTGTTCTTAGAGGCTGAAGCAGAGTCCCATGGTAGCAAGTTAGCTTCTCCTTGTGACAAGCCAAAGTGGTGTGATAAGACTTAGAGTGCAGGTAATCGGTAAGGATAAACTCCTGCTGCCTCTGAAACCAGAACTCAAGCTGGAGATGGCTTTTAGAAGAAATTTTAAGTGTCAGATCAAGGGCCAAGACAGACTAATGAGAGGACGTGATCGCTATAAATCTTCAGAGACAGCAATACTTCTAGATCAGGAGACAGTACTGACACTGAGAAGAAGTGCTCAGCCATTACTCAGCTCAGTGGAGAGCTCGCTGGAAAATGGACTGAGTACCGCTGCATATTAAGATCTCTTTGAGTTTCAGCTGCAGCAACTTTATAACTTTCCGAGATTAACTACTAGTACCTTTATCCATCAGGTGGCTTTTATCCATCACTTTAAAGAAACGTATTTAAAGAGATCTGATGCAACACCCAAGGTAGGCACACCTGGGGTTTGTTGCATTAAAATATTGTGTGCCTATTTTCTAATATTCAGGAATATTCTTGTGAGGACAATGACTTGCTTTAGGCACAATTTTCATTCATTTTTGATATGTCAAGACAAATGCAAGGTATTCCTTTTGTTTATTTATTTGTTTATTGTTCTTTCGCACATAAAAAAAGTAATGGTATAAAAAGAAATTATGTACAATCAAATACATGCTAGAGCCCAAGAAACCAGGAGGTTTATCTAGTGGGCTCTCCCAAATCCTGTTAACGATCTCATATTTACATACATTATTTACGTTAACAATTAACATGCATGTCTTAAGGGACAAACAAGAGAAAATTAACTCAAACAAGATAAGATCCTTACCTTGTACTATGTATTACATCAGGTAACATTACAGTAACTGCTGCAATAAATACTTTGAATAGGGTCTTCTTGTTTGAAATTTGTCTTCTTGACAAACTTGAGCGTCATGGCCATCCATTCATAGCCTGGGTACCATCCTACTTGTATGCTGGGGCTCCCACACTCGCATCTACTTCTTAGGGATGCGAGTGTGGGAGCCCCGGCATACAAGTAGGATGGTACCCAGGCTAATCCATTCAGCCTATCTCTTCCATGGATCATTAGCGCCTCCTTGCAATACGTATCATAAGTACATAGCAATGAACTTGCTTGGACAATACTATAATAGCGTAATCTTGTGACAGACATCATATTAGATTTAGAGTACACTGTAACGTTACATGCATATCTTCCGACCAAGTGCAGGAAGAATGGAAATTTATTCAGGACCCTGACCGAGAAGTTTGTTAGAAAGAGAGGCATGGAATAAAGAGGAAATTCACAACTTTTAACCAGACAAAACATTTTCTACATGTAACCATGTACGTCCAATACCAATGTAACATTGTACAAAAAATGTACTTGTATATAAATGCGATGCCAAGCGTGTGTATTTACTCCCGAACGCGCCAATTTTGAAAAATTTTCCACAAGAGGGGCATCTTCAGAACAGAGCTGCTGTAGCTCATAACTGTTACTGGTGTACTTTGCTATACACCCGCTAGATGGGGCGCGAGAAAAGCACCAGAAATACGACAGCGCACATGCATTTATCTAACTCATTGACCTGCAAGCACACGAAAAATACGCACCAAGATCTAAAAAAAACTCAAAATCCTTCCATTCATCGTCTTAGAGCCGGGAACGTGATTTTTAAGCTCATATATTCAGGGGAATTATAAAATCTGAATTTTTAGAGTTGCAACGAGAAAAAAAAGTTATCATCTGACATGAAAACGTGATTTATATGTTAGAGAAACACAAAATTCAAAAGCATTAAGGGTATAAAAATATGAATAGTACTCCAAGTGTTCTTACCCGGTTCACAGCTAGCCTCAATTTCACCTCAAGTAAAAGCCGCGACTCAACTCGACTTCAAAACTGTATTTAATTTTGCTTTGTTTTGACAAGAAAGCCATCGTACACTCTCTATGATTACTGTGTCAGTCGTCTATTAGAGGCTCTCAGCCTGTGGAGAATACCCCTGGCATAAGCTAAGGACTCCCAGTCCTACACGCGAACGCTAATTAGCGCTGTCTTCAGTTACGAATGAAAACACGTGGACCGCACCACACCATCGCCAACGGCTCTTTGGGAAAATCAGCTTAGATATGAGGTCATTGACCCCTTTTTGCGGCTAGTTTGAGGAATTGCAGACCCTCCGTTGGGAAGGCCACCCGAGGGGCGACCTTCACCGAGTTTCCGCCCTTTACAGCAGTATACAAACAGGTAGCATCGAGTGACATAACGCTTTTGTATAGCGCTCGGAGTGCTCAGAATTACGAGGAAATTAGACGCGGCGGCGAAGTCCTAGCACCGAAAAGTAAAATTATCAAACTAAATCGGCACAAAGAAATGTAGCGATAGTTATCAAAAACAATATCAGTGTCAAGGACAAGCAAGTGTTTATATCCAGCGGCGAAAAATAACAGATGCGTAAGTCGATATTTCACAACCGTCAAAACTTATTTGGGGAGTTTCTCTACTCTCCAAGCAGAGGTAGGGTCGCTCGGTATTTTGGCAGTATTTTCCCTACGGGAAGGAAGACCAGAGAAAAACCGTAAAAGTAGAAAGACGTATTAAAAACGCGAAAATACTGCCAAAATACCGAGCGACCCTACCTCTGCTTGGAGAGTAGAGTTTCTCCGGAAATGGGTAGATAGAAGAAAATATTGTTTGCCTGGCCATCGATATCATTACTATTATTTTCTTACTTACTCCATGGAGGTTGTTAACTCTTAAATCTTCCTAATCGTCACGTCACAAACAATTGTTATTTACTCTCCAAATCTTAAGTTTAATTATAGAAGACCATTGAACATTGTGTATACTTGTACAATTTGAAAAAAATGTTTTTATCTGATTTGAGTTACGTACTCGGCACACGGCAAATTAGAAGATAATTGTTGGTTAAACTTATTTGCATATTATTGTTATATACGTTCTGCGTAACTTTGATAACAGTTTAAACTGCTAAGTATCCATGTAACGTTACTGTACTCTGATGATTGTTACAGTTACGTACGGTCCCGTGAGAAATTGCACGTGTCGGTCACGTTGTCCGTTCAGGGTGGTAGTGTGACCACCTGAGACGGCTACAAGTACACAGTATTAAATGTTTAAACAGCCAAATTTAAACAACAGCAACAACAGAAAACAGGGTTGATAACAACTGAAAAAAAAGTTGAGCGAATTGCTTCTAGCTTTCATTGTGTTTTCTTGATTTCAGGGATGGCTCTTGGCTAGCACCATGTTCCTGAACAAACGTTAACGTACTAGTAACCAAGGCCATTATCTCTAGTATGTCCCTGACGTAACAGAGTATCCACATCAAGTTACCACGTCATTTTAAGTGACCACATAATTTGGCCCTTTGCCGTCAATGTAATATAATTTTTTTTCCGTACAACCACAGGGAATTACTAGATACCAATTCGCCTGTAAATTTAACTTAAAGAAACGTACAGCTGCATTAAAGCACGCTGGAATTGAATACGTGCACTCTCTCATGGAATCAGGCTGGTTTCTGTTATCAGGCTTCCTGATGCTTTCCCGAGTAATGTGCTTTATTTGCTGCCACGACCTGATGTAAGGCTATAGATACACAACAAATTGTCCCAAAATGACGTTAACGTTAACGTTAGTTATTATCTGTCAAAAGTTGTGTCTCAAAAAGTCAAAACGTCAGATGATGGCAAATTATACACTCACGGCCAAACCTCTGGTAGGAGAAAACAAGATCGCGGAAGAAAACGCTATAGAGCTGACATCAAAACATGGACACTAGGATTTCGCTAGGAAACATCGAGATTAGGCTGGAATTCGTAGGTCAATGACCGCAGAACCCTATCTAGGGTAACTACAAGGACGTTGTGCGAGTGTAACATGAGCTCAGGGCGCTGTGCACCTTCATTCTCAAAACTAAGCGTAGCCATTTGAAAAAATTGGTTGACAATAAACGCAAAACTTCCAATCGATGCATTTTACATTTGTCATTGGACGTTCTGAACAGCCGTGAAGAAAACAAAACAGCTTACGAAGAAAAACGCCCCCTTTGTGAAAACATGTGGTCATCTTTGTTTACCAATTTCTTTTGTAAACATAGAAGCGAAGACGTCATTGTCCACGTGACATAAATAGAAGATCTGATTGGATACCAGGAAGGATGAGCTTCTATTGGTTCATAGTCTCCATGTCGTAATACAAATTGGCCAATAGAAAGATGTTAGAAATGTCACGTGAGGGGGCGGAGCTGATGCCACAAACATCAGCCAAAATTTTCCAGTGGTAAAGTCGTGTTTCTATATTGTCTCCGTAGTATCTGTCCTCACACCACCTCTTTTTCTTCTGTTCAGCCTTCCTTAGTTCGTCACTATCTCCAGAAAAGCTAGCTAGCCGTGTTTTGCCACAGTATTCTGCCTGTTAGCCTCCAGAAACGCAACAACAACGATGGCAAGCGGGGACGTCCTCTCACCTGAAGTGGAAGTTTTCCAACAAAATGGCGAGGTCGAAGGGGAGGTGGATGAGAATTTCTCCGAGTCTCCCGCGGCCTCTCCCAACCTCAACGACCTCCGACCGAAGCTGAAGGCCAAGCGTAGGGCGAAGAGAAGCCCTAGCAAGGAAGACCAGCAGTTGTCATCCACCAACGGCGTCAATGTCAGCCAACTGAGCCGATCCAAGCCGAGATACGACCGCAAGTCCCGCACAGCCTACGGACGGGGGCTTCCCAAGAAAGGTAAACAATAATACGTGCAGCGCAGTCTGTCTAAAGGTTGGCTGCTGACAAACTTGTGTCAGCTGCAGGGTATTGTTTTTGTAATGTATAAGTGGGGAGAATATGGTGTTATGTCATGTCCAGACAGGACTGGATGTTTTTCACGCCACGCGGTGGCTAGAAAGCAGTGGGGCTCAGCATGCAGGCGGTACATCTATTGACATGCAAACGCGAAGTCGTACATTTAAATACCTTTACTCTTGCTGCTGTCGGTATTGTGCGAAGGCATCGTCAAAATTCCTAACGCTGCTGTGACAAAAGTCGTTATCTGTTCGTCATGGCAAGGTGTTGTTTTTCTGCTGTCGTCTGCGGGATTTCCTCAGGTCAGCTGACCGCGCACAAACTGATGGACTTTGTTGCCAAACAAGCCCAACTCCCTGACCACGTGGCACGGCACTTGTTTTGAGTGGGGGAATTTTGCCTCCAGGCACCAACAAAACAGGCCACTTGTCCCCCAGGCATAACCTTCACTTGCACACCTGCCACACAATGTAACCACAACTATGTTGATTGTTATTATTTTGTTAGCATACATGTTATTTCTAAAAGAGGCAAACTTTTATGTGGCTTTTAAGTTTTTTTTAGTTGACAGTGCGGTGCTCGAAATTAATGTTTTGGAATAGGTGCATTGGTGCATTGGTTCACCCAATTTTTGGGGGGGCGCACCGTATAAAGTAAAATAAGTACAATGTCGGACTCAGCAAAAACTTTAATTATGTTTTATTCCTAAAGAAATTACTACAACAATTTTTTGATTAGTTTTCTGACACTTAGATGTAATTGTTGTTAAGGATACGCTGTATCCTTTTAACATCTTTTCTTAACATATGTAAACCTATGAAAATATTTGGGGTGCACTGGTGCACCCACAGAAAAAAAATGGGTGCACAGCTTCAAATTTGGGGTGCGCTAAGGTGCACATTCACCTGGTATTTTGAGCCCTGCAGTGCACATCTCCTGGGTTTTTTTAATTCTAATGACTCGAAGAAGTCAAAACCTGATGTACGTCCTTTCACAACACAATAGGTGAAAGCCATAGGATTTTCTACATTTCAAAAGCTTTTGTTCTGATTCATTCAAGTGATGATATTGCATTTAAAAACAGCACCCTCTCACAGAAGCAGATCTATGGGAAGGTAAGTTCCACTGTTGGATCCTTTTCAAAAAACATCATTACTTTCACAGTGGTGGTGACATTCTCTTGCACAGCTTGTACCAAAAAAAATTGACATGGCACTGCACAAATAGTTCCAGCTTTTGTGATAAAAGAACTGACCCCTGTCCTCAATGCTCACTAATTCAATGGAAAGCTGGTGGAGAAGACAACAATTCCCTGTCATTTTGTAGTGTCAAGTCAGCAGATCCTGTCTTTTGTGACTTGAGTTGTGATTTATCAGCGATGTGCTGACAGGCCTGAACATGTGGCCATCTTTGTGTTGTACAGGACTTCATACAGAACAGATATCAAAGGTATAGGATAACAGTACTATACTATGAATGAGGGCCTTGTGATGGGCTGTAAGGATATTGTTTATTCAAAACATGTTGTTATTTCTTATTTTGGTATGTAAATTTCCGTAACTTCCTAACTGCCCAATTCCAGTTGTGCATAATACATGCTCTTTTATACAAAGTGCTTTCATTATGTAAAAATGGTCATGTTTCTAGTTCAACTTGTTAAGAAATTAAAGAATTGCAATGGAATGAGTTTATGTGCCCTTTGCATAAATATGCATGTGTAAGGAAATATTGTATGAAGGCTAGAACACAAAGAAATATATGCATTCTGTTGGCCTGTGGTTTGAGGTTATTTTTACCCTTCAGGTTTTGATGGGGTTTACTCTTGTGACCCCATGATGTGTTCTGTTCCACCCATAACCAAATGAACAAAAGAGTTGGTTTGTATGGGTGTTTCTGCAGCTCAATGGCTGCTTCGGACATCTGATCTGCCCTTAAAATGGGCAGGGCTGTTCAGGGCAGGCCTAATGGTAACTGATGCTAAGACTTGTTTTGGCTGTGCATAAAGCCTGAGTAAAATAGATTAAAACAGCTCAGGTGTCAGGACTCAATGGACAAGTCTTATACTAGAGGCTGCAGTTTGTGCAGAAAAGGAACTTAGCTGGAATTTCAGGTGGCTACACATTCCTGTTGCTGGGTGTATGGCAATAAATTCTTGCATTGTGAATCTTTGCATGTTTAAAAATGAGAACAGCAAATAGGACATTGGTACAGTAGAAGCCGCTTATTTGAAAAGCCAATTTGTCAGCACATTTTTTTCAAATACCTGGCCTTTCCGATTAAGAGACTCTGAGGCTCAAACTCTCGGCCTTCATTGAAACTATGGGGGTGGGGGGTGGACAGGGCATCGAACACATAACGACACAAAGAATACAAACACGAGTCACATTTACGCATTAAAAACAGTGAACTTTATTGAGATCGGTAAATTTGCTTTTAATTTTTTTCGTTGACGTACACACGTATTTTTTTCGTTTTTTCCAAGACTGGAAGAGCGCCGCGATACGTTAGACATCATGTGCTATCGGCAGGCTCTACTCGAACGAATAAACAAATTATGCTACGTTTGCTACGTACAAAACAAGCAACGAATACATGCACAATCTTCAGCCTGTACGTACTTTTACATCACGAAAGTAGCAAAAAATAAAGTTTGATTAACGGAAAACTTCAATCAAGTAGCGTACAGACAAAAATGCAGACGATCGTCATGAAAGCAGTCGATAGCACAATTCACAAAGGATCGCTTCGATCGCTTAATTTTCAGAAACTCCGGCTAGCACACGAAAATTATCGTAACTAATGCAACAATAAACTGTTCATTTCAATGTTAATGACTTTTTAGCTCACGATGTCCGTAGGTTACATGGAAATTTGCGATAGTTGACGGGGATCTCTCGCATTAGCGTTCAGGGAAGTAAACAAAGATGGCGGACGCGGCGTGGGTAGCAGTATCCCATCATTCCATGCGGTGTTTTTTCGCGGCACATTTGGCGTGTTGATGCGGCGATAGCGCCGTGTCGCAGTCGAAATAAACTCAAAATAATGGCGCAGTACACAAGTAGAGACATGGTTTTGATGATTAAAAAATGAGTTGTATGAGAAATTAAACGTTCTTGGAATAAACAGGCTAAAAGAACACAAAAGCATGCCGCATTTGGCGGCTATGAACCGGCTCGCGCTTCTCATTACGTAGTGCCGATGTGCGCCCGACCGCTCGATCAACGTAAATTTCGGCCTCCTTTGTGGTTCAAAACAGACAACTTCGTCCCTTTTGGCGGCTTGATGTCTTGATATAAGAAATTTTCCGCCGATTTTGGTGATTTGTTTGGCATGTTTTTGGTTGAAAATGTGTTGCAACTTGACAATTTTTTTTCAAATAGCCGGCATTGGCTTTTCAAATAAGGGGCGTGATAAACAATTGTGTCAATGGGAAACGGTTTGGGTTTTCACAATTCTTTTCAATTAGCAGACTTTTTCTTATAAGCGTTTTGCAATTAACTGGCTGCCACTGTATTAAAACATGCTGGCCTTGAAATTTGGATTAGTGATCTCATTAAAATCTTGTTTGTATGATGACATTCTCTGCAAATGTCTGAAATGTAGGTAAATTACATTTGAACTCCCAGGGGTCTGAATCCTTTGGAAATAGATTACCTTTCCAAATTGTTTTCCCAATACTTTTTCTAGGTCGAGGCCAAAAGGGCTCATCGACCAAGTGACCTGACAACTGGATGTTCCCATTTATCAGAATATCTGAGTTCCTATTGTGCACTATGCACTATATGTTATATGCATGAACGATGGAAAGTCAAAGATAACTAGAAAGGCCGACATTTGCTTTGGAGCAAATACAGCGATGGCTTCACCACATTTTACGACATGGCAGGGAAAGAATGAGAAACACAAGGGAAAACAATGATTTACATTGATATAACTATAGTATGAAGTAACATACAACTTAACCCAGTTAAATCCCAACAGCCAATCAGCAAGAAGAATAGAGGAAAGCTGCATGCCTATTGGTTGATGCCCTGCATTCCACTGTGATGACTCATGCCCAAACGTGGTAAACTTGGCACACTGACACAGTAATACATTTGCTATAACACAGCCAAGAAGCTCAAATAAAACCATTCTAAAAGCCTGTATCACAAAAATTAAAAAACGCCTGGGGGTATTTGCCCACTGTACCTTCATACAAAATTTCAGGTCCATAGGCCCCAAAATGAAGAAGCTGAATCAATTTAAAGAAATGGCAGGAGAAGAAGAAGGAGGAGAAGAAACATCAGAAAAAGCAATATGGTTTCACCACTTTGTGGTGAACCCATAAATATTTGAATTCACATGAGAAAGGGAAAAGTTTTGTTCTCTTTTGTATGTTTGAAATTGATAGCCTCTCCTCTCAGACCCTGTTCATATCAGGCTTTGCAAAACTGGTTGAATTTATTTATCCCAAACCAAAATATGTCTCAGCCTCAGCTTACAATACAAGGAAGTAGGTTACAGGTGGTTAGTGACTTTTTATCCGGCAAACAGTTAATGAATATTCAAGTCATGTAGGTCATCCGTTGTTGGCCAGTCATTTTGAGTGGCTTCTGTGTTTATTGAAGCAAAACAACACGGAAAGTTGAGGCAGAAACCTTGCACTACCTGTGCAAAGGCAATGGAACTAGGTAACATAATGACAACTTTCTATCCTACCTAATTGTTCAGAAGGAGAATGCCATGGATAAAACTGTGAATATGTTATTGGGCAAGGATCCAGTATTCTTGACGTCCCAAATATTCTGAAAGGTTGGCACATGGCCCAACTGATGACACTTGAAGAATTCAGACTTTGTGGTAGAGAAACACCAGATGTCACATGATAAAGTGTATGGTGCTAGTTTGCATTTTTGCTATACCATAGTAATAAGTATCACAATTCCCAGTGTGTTTTC